ARRRKAGTTCTAGCGATCTGAAATGCTTCCCTTTCAGCTTTGGCGAAGTGTGATCTTCCTCTYGGGCTTGCGTCAAGSCTATCAGTACCGGATGCCAATTTTACCGCTTCATCATCTAAAAGCCAATCACATCATTCMTATGAAGCAAGACTAAATGGAGACTCGAGTTGGTGTGCTAATGATTCTGATATCATGTCTCCATGGTTACAAGTGTCATTTGGTAACAAATACCGTATCACTGCTATCAGAACACAGGGTAGTAGAAGAGATTATATCTGGGTCAAGAAATTCCGTATTGAATATAAAGTGCAGGGCGGAAACTGGTCAAAGTATCCCACGGTAAACCATTGAAACTAATAACGAAATGTTCTCAGTCACTGAATCATTTGCTTTGAATAACAGAGTATAACTGAAGCAGGCTACACTACATTACTAACCACTAGTCTAACTAGTATAACTGAAGCAGGCTACACTACATTGCTCACCACTAGTCTAACTGTACAGACGCCTTGTGCGCTCACAGTTTTTTTTTTGACGATTTATGATAACTTCAGAATTATTTTTTTGGCAGGATTTGCAGGGTAACGATGTCTTGACCCGTAATAGGGGAAACACTGTAAAACTAGACAAAACATTTGTGGGACATCACATAAGAATCTTACCGCTGTACAAAGAAGTTGATGGTATTTCCCCAGGGAGAGTTAAGATCTTCTCGCCTTGTTTGCGAATGGAGCTATATGGATGTAGATTGTACTGTAAGTGTGATCATTGCATTATCTGGTAAACTAGACGATCATAGATCGCTTACATAGGCTTCCTGTAGCTGCGACAATGGGTCAGCTGCCTCCATTGAGTTATAARTATTGTATTTTCACGATAGAGTCTTTGTTTGAAATAGTTCAAGACATAATTAATCATTATAAGTAATTTACATCTTTATAACATCTTAATGTTTTACCGAACTGAACTAAGTACTACAGTCTTTGGTTTACATTCACGGCTTATAAACAAACCAGCTGTAGATATCGCGATCAGGCCACGAGGCCGACTGACGTACAAAGCATATACATGTTAACAATGAAAACAAAGCGCGGATTGATTTAGTTTGATAAACCCATGGAAACTGAGACTGCAGACCATCTGCAACGCAGGCGCTACCAATTTGAAGCCCAATATTCACGACGACGACGACGACGACGACGAAGGAGAAAAGTCCACTGACATTTTTAGGAAGACGTAATCTGGCGAACATTTTAATATCTTTTTAAATGCCTCAATAAAAGAATTCGCTATTTTATGCACAATATAACTCATCGAATACTCCAATTTCGAGTTCTGGTTTGCTCTGTGTTAGCCTCAAAACCAAGTAACATATTCTTTTGTTTCATTGATGGCCTGAGAAAACTCATGGAATTTGACAAGAAAGACAATAGAATTGATTTGAAATTCTCACACTTTTATTTTCACAATTAGGAAGTATTTTGAGCACAAATGATGCTAACACAGAGCATTGGAGAATTCGAAACTGGAGTATTACAGTGCTAGCATATTTTTATATTTTAATATTTAAAAGCCGGATAGTAACTGATTTATACTGTAATGGTAAACATTGACGCCGTTTAGTMTTTTATCGCAAATTGAACACAACAAATGAAAACAATAATCCCTGTCGGTCATGTGKCATGTCTTCTCCGTTCAACAATCACTGTTTATCGTCCTTCCCGACARCGTTGTTTRATAGGTGTATACGCGCAATAATAACCGGAAATAATCTGATTTAATGTTTCCTCAACAGCAAAATGTCCTCCACCACGTCACAGTCCACACTCCACTATCGTGTTCATCGATCGTTCACATCAAGGAGAGGCAAGGTTTAAATGTGACGCG